AACTGAAGCCATTAAACAGGAGCGACCCAGAAGTTATTTCATGTACCTCCAAGAAGCCACGGCATCTTTTTGTTTTACTCTAATATTGAGTGAAGCAATTCAATTCAAGTTTATTTATATAGCGCCAAATCACAACAACAGTCGTCGCAAGGCACTTCACATAATAAACATTCCAATTCAGGTCAGTTCATTAAGCCCATCAGAAATAGTGTGTCCTATATAAGGAACCCAGCAAATTGCATCAAGTCACTGACGAGTGTCAGTGACTTTACAGCAATCCTCATACTAAGCAAGCATGCAGCGACAGTGGAGAGGAAAAGTCCCTTTTAACAGGAAGAAACCTCCAGAGAATCCTGGCTCAGTATAAGCAGCCATCCTCCACGACTCACTGGAGATGGAGAGAACACACACACACACACACACACACACACACACACACACACACACACACACACACACACACACACACACACACACACACACACACACACACACACACACACACACACACACACACACACACACACACACACACACACACACGATGTCTTAGTAAATATTCTACTTGGTGAAAGATAAACTTTATTGTATTTATCCTAGTGGATCTATAATTAAACGGGTAAACTAGTAGTAGCACATCCAACGTCAAGGAAAGCATAAAGTTATTATCAGGAGAGGGAGAATGTTTAAGTGGTTAGCAGCAGTGTGCTAGTCGATGGCCCCCTCCATGAGGCCACCACAGCTCAGCAGAACATCGTTGTAGCTTCTTCTGGGGAGAAAAACACTTAGAGAGAAAATAAAGTTAACAGCTGAAATTGCAGGAAACAATACAGTTAAAGAGCAGATTGTAGAAGAAAGCAGTAGAGTGTGAAAAGTGGTCAGTGTATCCTCCAGCTGTCTTAAGCCTATAGCAGCATAACTACAGAGATAACTCTGGATAATCTATCCTATTTAGATGTAGGCATGTTGGAGGCAGGGCAAGGGAGAGCCGTCTTTACCGACTGTACACTCCACCTCCCTCTACTCCCCCACTTGTCCAGATTTAGGCTAACATCAGATTTTAACCATCGGCCCTATCACATAAAAATGTTTTAAGTCTATTCTTAAATGTAGACAAAGTGTCTGCCTCACGGACTAAGGCTGGGAGCTGGTTCCACAGGAGAGGAGCCTGATAACTAAAAGATCTGCCTCCCATCCTAATTTAAGATATTCTAAAGCAGGCTAGAGGCTAACGTGGAGCTAGCCATGCTAATGGTGAATTAGAGGCAAATAGTCGGTTCTAAAATTATCTCTAGGTAATTTTCCAATTCCCAACAACTCAATATTACAGTGAATAATTTGTGTGAAGTGAATAATGAGTCAAATGTGGCATTTTACTTCCTCTAATGAGTCGTTCATAAATATAACAGCAAGCTAACAGCAAGACAGCAAACTACCATAATAAGTGTAGTAAGTGCTCCCTACCGTAAAACACGCAAGAGTGCTAACACCAGATGTATTTATCTACTTATTAACTTATCGTGTGTGAATAGGGATGGGTACCTTTGACATTTGAATCGATCCGGTACTAATTCCCGGTACCTACGAATCGATACCGGTACTTAACGGTACCAATTTTCGATACTTTTGAGTGTTTATTATTTTAATTCTGTTTTATAATTAAATATATATTTTTCTCAATATATAACCATATTTGATAAATATCATGATAAATAACATTCAACTGTTTGTATTATAAGCTGATAATTAAACTGAAGCAAACATCTTTACTGTGAACTAAATTTACTGTGTATCTTCATTCCTTTTGCCGTCCTTTTTCATTTGATTTTTCCTATTGGGAAGTCAGAATTTCCGAGGAGAAAGCGAACGCACCATTAGCTGATAACAATGGTAGCAATGGAAGCTAAGATATCAAGCTAATGTTATCTTAAACAGTTTATTTAACTGCTGGAGCAGATTTAAATGATGATGCCTCACACTTAGATCGTTGTCACTGGTTATGTCTTCACCCGTCACATTTAGTAAAGTGAAGCCAAACTTTAGAGCGTGTTCATGTTCTTCTAGTCGGGAATTCGGAGTTCCGAGGAGAAAGCGAACGCACCATTAGCGAAACGGAAGCTAACATATCAAGCTAATTATATTTACCTACCAGAGCAGATTAAGACGAGGATGTCTCACTTAGGGCTGCAACAAACGATTATTTGGATAATCGATTAATCGGATGGGGTCTCGACACGATTAATCGATTAATCGGATTACATAGGGACATTTTTAAAAACTGCTAGGGAAACGTTATTTTTCTCCTTCCTTCACTTTATTAAACACAACATTATTAGAAAACAGTTCAATAGCAGAAAAACAACATGCCATCACCTAAATTGTCTTATAAGGTGTATAGACAGAGACCCTAAGCTACACCTATCTGTGACCTAAAATGCTTGGTCCAAGTTAAACAGCTTAAAGAGCAAGTCAACCCCTACCAGAGTCTAACTCCACTCCTGCTTTATGTTTGAAAAATGCAACACATGCTGTTGCCTGGCAGACCGAGAGGGCGGAGCCGCTAACAAATACACACACACTCAGGCTCACGACAGCATTGTGACATCATAATGTACCAGTTTACATCATAGCATACTTCTTAGCCAATAGCGGTGGCAGATTTAAATTCAAATACAGTGCAGAGTTTTTACCTGACAACGGCACAACACTGCCAGTTTTAGGCAGAATATTTAAATTTGAACTACGATGCACTGAAGTGCCAAATTATTGATGACACGTGTCTGCAGCACGATTAGACACTCGTTTATTTAGTTTATCAGCAAAAAAAGTTTATTTGGGGGTGACTTGCTCTTTAAGGGCAATTCTCATCTGTTTTGTTTGATCTCATCCGTAGACATTTATTATAACTGGGGATGTCAAACAACTAATTTTTAAATGTAATTAAACATAGGCTGTGAATTAATTAAAATTAATCACTACCGTATTTCCAAAAATGACTGAAAAATACCAACTAAAACAAAAGTAAATGAATGCCATCCTCCTTGCGATGATGCCCTGGGCAACTGCCATAAAGTCACATCAAGAAATCCTGCTGATCATTCCAATGATCCCAAATAGACTCACATTAGGCCACATGAAAGCAACTGAACCCAAAAATATATTAACCAGTATATAACTGCACTCTCACACAACACGCCTGCAGCAACAGTTAGGACTCCTCCCTCCCTTTTAAAAGCATTTTCGCTTCTGAGGACATTGTGGTTGTAAAACCACATGTTAGTAGTCTGGCCCCGGTGTGATCAACCAGTTTCTGCGGGAATGTGACGGCGGAACCGGTTCGCAGCGGCGCGAGTCCCCCCCCCCCCCCCCCCCCCGCCTATCTAATAGCGTCGCGCTTACAATTTTATGGACTTTTTTATACGAGCTTAGGGCATGTCTAGCCTGTGTAATAATCCGGGGCTTGGGTGAATCACTTTTGAATAGTTTTTAACTTACCCGGACACAGAGCTCTCTCCCTCCTCGCTGATGATTCTGACATGCTTGCGTTTAAGACGCTGCATCATCACCGTAGTATCCCCGCGCCATGCTGTCTGACCTACAAACGTTGAATGTCTTCGCCTGATTTAACTGAAAATGCTCGCAAACTTTAGAAGTTTTTACTTTTTTGGAGTCTCGCTGCTTCTGCCATGTTCCTCTTACAAACACCTGCCGGCTCTCCACCGGTCTGCGCGCAACGGCGGGCGGGAGGGGAGGGGGCTTTTGGAAGAGTTGCGCAACACAACGAATCGATGACGCAATTCGTTGCCAACGCTTTTAGTAATCGATTTTCATCGAATTTATCGATTCGTTGTTGCAGCCCTAGTCTCACTTAGATAGTTGTCGCTGGTTTCATCATCACCCAGTTACCCATCACATTTAGTGAAGTGGACCCAAGCTTTAGCGTGCGTTCTTTCTACCGTGCTGCTCTGTTTACAACTCGCTCGCAGCGACCGATGACATAACGCTCTTGCGCATGCACAGCTGTCTAGGCAAGTTCTCGTTGTGAAGGACGGGTACCGAAACGAGGCACCGTTTCAAATGAAGCGAATCGGTGCTCGGTCGGTACTGTGGAATTCGGTCGGTACCTTAAAAAGTACAGAATTCGGTACCCATCGCTATGTGTGAACCCTCTTTGCTCGTCTTCTAGAATCTTCTGGTGGTGATCTGTAACTGGCAACAGCCATGAAACTCAGAACAGCAGTGGGAAAGTCACATTTTGCTTAGAAAAATGGACTGCAGTAACCGAATTTGACCACAGGGTGTCATTCTTACTTTATTCTTACATATTAATCAACATGATAAAAATATACTGGAGCTATTTCTGCCGTGTCTGATGGCAAATCTGGAAAAATGCTTTTGTAATGCAAAGAGGAAACTTAAAAGATCCTTATTAAATGATAAATGGCCTGTATTTGATATAGCGCCTTCTAGAGTCCTGGAACCCCCCAAGGCGCTTTACAACACAATCAGTCATTCACCCATTCACACACACATTCACACACTGGTGGGGATGAGCTACGATGTAGCCACAGCTGCCCTGGGGCGCACTGACAGAGGCGAGGCTGCCAAGCACAGGCGCCACCGGTCCCTCTGACCACCACCAGCAGGCAACATGGGTTAAGTGTCTTGCCCAAGGACACAACGACAGTGACAGACTGAGCGGGGCTCAAACCTGCAACCTTCCGATTACGGGGCGAGCACTTAACTCCTGTGCCACCGTCTCCCCCTAAATCAGTAAATAGAAACAATTCCTCTTCTATATTTCAGTGTCCCTTCTAGGTTAGAAGTTGTGTGTTGCTCTGGATAAAAGCGTCTGCCAAATAAATAAACAATACCTTCAGGTATTTGTTTACCGTTTGGAAGTGTGAACAGTAGAACGTCTGTAGTTTCAGTAGCTATTTCTGCCTCAGACATCAGAATTCTTCATTAAGATGTTCTAACTAGAACTCTGCTTTTCACAGGAAATGGTTTGTAGCCCTCACGCCATGACGGTTTTAAGCTGCACCAAGTCCAAACTGGCAGTTCGCAATGACAAGATGAGCTTCAGGCTGACACAGGAGGGGAAGTGCGCTCCCATCTGCTCCTCGCAGAGCGACGCTCCGAGTCAGGTGGAGGGTAAGGATCTGCTCAAATGGAAGCTCGGGATTTGAAATATTCTTTGTTGTTTCTTTTTTCCCGGTTCTTCTTAGGTCGGACACCAAGCTCCAGCAGCACCACGCAGAGGGCTGATTTCACAGAGACAGAGAGCAGCTACAGCCAGCGCTCACCCTGCTGGTCCAATGAACCACCGTCACCTCCGCAGCTCCACTGCACACTCCTTCGTCCTGCTCCCGAGCTCCCTCTGCCCCTCGGTAACAGTTTATCTCAGTCTCCGCTTCACGCCAGCAACAACGGCGGCGCGCTCCACAGCCTCCATAGGAGAGGAGTCCGGACAAAGGTCACAGGAAAGAGATCTACTCGGGCTTTAACGTACGCATGCACTGATTACTGAGCCACACACACACACACGCACGCACGCACGCACACACACACACACACACACACACACACACACACACACACACACACACACACACACACACACACACACACACGCACACAGGTCATGCTGGGTCACACAAGTTGATTATTTCAGTAGTTCCATTAAAAAAGTAAAGCTTTCATACTAGATGAATGTGTTACACACGGACTGATACATTTAAGTTGTTTATTTCTTTTATGTTTATTATGATAATGATAAATGATAAGTGACCCGCACTTGTATGGCGCCTCTCAGAGTAAGGACTCCAAAGCGCTTTACACTACAGTGTATCATTCATCCATTCACACACACATTCACACACTGATGGTGATGAGCTACGATGTAGCCACAGCTGCCCTGGGGCGCACTGACAGAGGCGAGGCTGCCGAGCACAGGCGCCACCGGTCCCTCCGACCACCACCAGCAGCCAAGGTGGGTTAAGTGTCTTGCCCAAGGACACAACAGCTGATTTCTCTGTCCGGGGCCGTGATTGAACCTGCAACCCCGTTGAGCTACTGCTGCCCTCATTTTAACTGACAACTAATGAAAATCCCAAAGTCAGTAGCGGTAGATGCATAAGCTCCTGCAGTCCTAAAGCCTTCCATCAGAGTTCAGCGATTACGTATAAGATAAATGATGATAAGGGTTCAATAAGTGACTCCTCAGCTGATTAACAGCTCTGTTTATGACCCCCCCCCCCTCCAATCAGCTGTGTAATCTAATCCTGGAGGTGTGTTTAAGTGTCTGCCTGCTGCTGTTCTGGAGGAAACTTCCTCTAAAATCTGCAGTTTTGTTCTAAGTTGAGTTTTCCTCTGAGAGCAGAAATGAGGTCAAACATAATACTTCTCTTCCCCGTCTAATCGTGCTTTCTGTGTTTAATGATGGTGTTTGTTTTCCCCGCCACAGGACAGGAGGGAAAAACTCTCAGAACAGAAAAGTCACCGACTTCTTTCCAATAAGACGGAGCTCAAGGAAAAGTAAAACGGAACTGAAGGTAAGTCAGAACGAGGGCGTTTGGTGGACGGGGTCGACCGTTAGCTGTAGGCAGGCCCGGTTTTACCGGAGCTCTGCCGTCCTACAAAGTTTATCTGATTAACCTTGATTAACCGGGCTTTGACCTTGGTGACCCCTGGGTGAGTCTAAAGGCGTTTCTGCTCGTATTAAAGGCCGAGCGTGAGCTCTGTTGACATCGGGTCATTCGGATTGGTTGTGAGAACGACCTCCTGACCCTTCAGTTTACGATCAGCTGTTGCTGCCACGTTTCTGCCTAGTTTGGTGCACAAATTGATCAAATTTCCCTTCCAGAAACAATTGACTTGTTTTTGGTTTTCAGATTAACAACATTTAGAATTAAACTAAAGCTGTAGATTTGTTTACATCATGCTGTTTGTGTTTATGAACATTTGTTTTCCTGAAAACGGCAAACTCATTTTATTGTGACTCATTTTAATCTTTTCAAAAGCAAATATTAACATTAGACTGAAAGTCACGTGATGCTAATGACGTGTTTTTGCCACCAGTGTGAACAGAAGAAGCTGATAGATGATCTCATCGCTAATGGAATAGAGGAAGGAATGAAGGTATCGCCTGCACCTGTGATGATGTCATCACGATGTTTTAATCCCATTTAGAAATTAGGATTCTTTAGATATGATCACTTTCATGTAATGGGAAATGTTTTTACGTCCTGTTTTAGTGTAACTCTTGTTTATTTCCTGTAATCTGATTCAGCTCTGACACGATTGGCTTTCTGACTAAATATGCACAACATTAGTTTTGTAAAAACGTCAAGTCAGCAGGAAAACTTTCCTCAAATTTCTATCAACATTTTCTGATTTACATCTTCAAAATTAGCCTTAAAGACACTAGTTAGAACAAGAATGAGCTAGCCCCCTGGTGGTGGAGGAGGGATATAGCAACTTAACTCAACAGTAACAATTAACTCATTCGCTGCCAGCGTTTCTCACCGTTTTTACTGTTTTTTTTAAGAGTGACAGAACGTTGCGCGCTAGGATGATGTCGACGCCAAAACAAAGCAGAGACTCACCTCTTACATCAGGAAGAATCCGCGCGTTTCGAGCGTTATCCGTTCTTTCATAATCTGATGTTGAATTGTGATCGGCAGAAGCTTTTCTGGTTCGCGGCTCACTTTTTTTACAGCAGCGGCCCAAAACGATCTCCTAACACATGGATGTTCTGCTTCCTGATCACGTGACGTGTGACGTATGCGGATGATGATCGGCTTTAGAGCTGAGATGTTTGTTCTCACGGTGCGGGGGCTCGTCCGACGCCCACACAGTAAAAACATGCAAATGACGTTTTTAGTCGTCATTGGCAGTGAATGAGTTAAAGGGGTTGACTTCATTGTTTTGTTGGGGTTCTCAAGTGAATACAAGGTGTTGGTGCTTGGTATGCATCACCTGTGTAGTATTCTCCCCGCCCCCCGCCATGGGGGCTGTAGCTCCTCTTGTAAGAGCCATGGGACCCAACAGAAGACATAAAGGAATGGGTGGTTGCAACATACGCTTTGCTACTTAGGAGGTGCAGAGCAGTTGGGGAAACGCGTTGACCATAGGTCATACTGGCATAACACCGTTGTGCAAAGGAACAAGTATACACATGTGCTTTTTGGTGCACATGTACCACTTCTGTGCACCACTGACTTTATACACCTCACAACAAATGATGTATTTGTATGAAAAGGTGATGCCTTCACATGTTCACTATACTTTTGCATCAGAGTGTATAAACCTGTACCTGTATGGCTGTGTGCAACTGTGACTTTACAGGTTCAGCACATAGAAGGGAAGGGGAGGGCGGTGTTTGCCACACGGAGCTTCCAGAAAGGCGATTATGTGGTGGAGTACCACGGAGACCTGCTGCAGATCACCGACGCAAAGAAGAGGGAGGCTGAATATTCTCAGAACCCCTCCACAGGCTGTTACATGTACTACTTCCAGTATCTCTGCAAAACATACTGGTGAGGAGGGAAAAATTCAATCTGGCATCTTTCAAAAACAACCACAACATTTATTTATAACCTTTATTTAACAGAAAACACTCAAAGTTAGAAACATAAAACCAGAAGAATCCTTTAAAACCCTCTAGTGTCCAGAGAGACCAGCTCACACCCACTTCCTGATTGGACCTCTGGGCTTATGTAGCTCCTGTCTGCCGGTGGGTTCTTCATGATTGATCAAGTTGAAGATTTAAGTTCACTAAAGCCGTTTATTACTAAATACTGCTGTTAATTTGCCGCAATGCTAAAGCAGCATCAGGAAGCCTAGGTCGGTTATAAGTGGTCAGACCGTGGCTGTGATGTTGCGCAATCGTGTCCTTTTCACAACAGATTACGCGATGGTGGTATAAGGGGGTATGTGATAGTCCCTGTGCTGCTGCGGACCTCCACTTATCTTGACATAACTTCTAGTTTTATTGCGATCAAAGCCGCACAAGCCTCCTAAAGGCGACTGGCCCCGTGCAGTCACTGGCGATCTGACCTCCAGCTCTGATGGAGAGAAGCTCCTGGAAATCTGCATCGCTCCAGATTATCATCTCGGCTGATTCTCTTAACAAAAGCGAAACTTGCGACTCGTGTTCATTTTCAGTATAGTTGCCATGACACCACCCTGTGGCGCCATGGTCTTATCTCCGTTTCTAAGACGATTATCGCAATTTTACTACCAAACGAGGTGGAACGAATGCCGCAAATTTTGCGGCATGGCGCATTTGTAAGACACAGTTGTGGTAATATTATGCTGATTAATCGGCACGTGTGTCTTGTATAAAGGACTTAAAGAGCAAGTCACCCCCAAATAATCTTATTTTTCTGATAAACTATATGAATGTGTGTCTGATCGTGCTGCAGACACGTGTAGTCAACAGTTTAGCACTTTAGTGCATTTTAGTTAAAACTTTAATTTTCTGCCTAAAACTGTCAGTGTTGTGCCGTTGTCAGGTAAAAACTCTGCACTGCATTTAAATCTGCCATCGCTATTGGCTAAGAGGTACCCTAGAATGTTAGCTGGTACCATATGATGTCACAATGCCGTGAGCCTGTGTGTGTGTTTGTGTATTTGTTAGCAGCTCCGCCCCCTCAGTCTGCTAGGCAACAGCATTTGTTGCATTTTTCAAACAGGAAGTGGGAGTGGAGTAATACTCTGGTAGGGGGTGACTTGCTCTTTAACTTTGTGTTAACATGGTTTAAACTAATATCTTAATGTTACATTTGATATGTCTAAATTTAAACGAACCTAAAGAGATTAATGTTAGTCCAAATAGTTGCTAGTATATCAGAAAATAAAAAAAATTGGGGGTTTTAATTGATGTTTTTAATTAATATTTTCACAAATCAAATCACTGTTAAACAGCTGATTCCAACTAAACAAGTGTGACTTGATAGTTGTGATTTCCAGCTGAAAGTGGTTCACTAAAACCATTTATTAATGATTATTTCTGGTTCTAATGGGTCAGAGTGTTTCATGCAGGCTGAACATGAAAATAGTCTCCTACACCTATCTCCTGCAGTAGCTTCTGATAGAAAACAGACGGTGAAACTCTAGGATTAGAAAAGCCTGACAGATCTACGTCACCCTGTAGCTTAGCATTCATGAACTGTTGTTGCTGGTTTAGCATCCAGTAAACAGCACAGCACAGAACATCCCTACCAGTAGAAGCTAACTGTTAGGATTGGCAACTCCACCACACAGCAGAACTCCTCCAGGCTTGTGTTGTTTGTGGAGATAAAACATCAACGTTGCAGCGCAAACAGAATCAGTGGTAGAGTGGCGCTACTGTTAGCCAGAGGAGAGATGTCCGAACGCCAGAAAAGAGAAGGTCCTGCTGACTGAAGCCACTTTTCCCTCCAACTAAATAATGCTGAAACAGGTGGACTGGACCCTTTTCCCCCAGAGTGCAACGTACAAGGCCTTAATTCTCACTAGACTTTAGCAATTGTGTTGAATAAACAAGTGAACCACAGCTTTAAATGTGGTCTTTTGTTACGTTATACTTTTATTGTGGTTCTGTTGGATAACATCGTGAGGAACACAACAGACCTGAATGAGGAGTCAAGAATCTGGCGATACGATAAACATCACAATACTGGAGAAACGATACAAAGCTATTTTTCTGACTGAATTGAATTGCGGTCACATCCAGTGTTTTGATGCGTCTCCGTGTTTCGTCAGCAGGAAGGCAGTGGGAACTGCTGCCACCTAGCAGTCGCAGTTTGAGTTGCACTGCACAAATAAATATGGTCAAGAAAAAAATCGATCAAAGTTATGCATTCAGTATCCTGACAAGAAATCTGAAATATTTCAGTGCATGGATGTTTTCTGACATCTCTAAGTATGATGGAGTGTCGGTACCTCCATTAGAGGCAGAGCTTTTGAAGGGTTTTTTGTATTTCCCGTCAGTGTGGACGCTACGAAGGAGACGGGCCGGATGGGCCGGCTGATAAACCACAGCAAAACTGGGAACTGCCAAACCAAACTCCACGACATCAATGGCGTCCCCCACCTCATCCTCGTCGCCTCTCGGGACATCGACAAGGGGGAGGAGTTACTCTACGACTACGGAGACCGCAGCAAAGCCTCCATCGCTGCTCACCCCTGGCTCAAGTCCTAATGGGAGGAGCCTCAAAACAAAGACAAACAAACAAACAAACCGTAAAGGGAAACACTCGGCAAGGCGAGTTTCCTTTAGCTAGTGTGTAGATGCCTTAGAAACAGAATGTGTGTACCCTGTTGGTTGCTATATAAGGAATACGGGGGAGGGGGTGACTGATGCAAAGTCCATCTTTATAGGACTTGTCTTCTTTTATTTGTGTCTCTAAAACATTCTAGTTGTTTTGCAGCACATTTCCTTTGTACGTTTTTGTACTCAGACCAATGCCTCTACAGCATGCAGGTGGTAGTTGATGCTCTGCATTTTTATACAGGTTTGTTTTTTTAAGTAGATGTTAGAAACTTAGCAATACTTCTGTGTTCGGCTCCAGAGATCCTTCTGGATCAACGGGAACCACGAGATGCAAAAGAAACTCTTTTTAAGGAAGAATGTTCTGCTCAAGTGGATCATCCAGACAGTCGGCCACTGTTGGAGGCTGTGGGAGCTTCTAAAGGAAAAATAAACACCTGTTGAAAGCTCCAAATGTGACGCAGGCTTGTGTTGAACATGCAAACTCAGAATAACCGGTATAAACCTTTTGTTTTTTTAAGAGTATAATGTATTTTTAATATTATGGAGAACGCTTACATTTGAATTCTCGTGTAGAAAATGTTCAAATAATTTAAACGTTTCTGCAAATGGCTGCAGAACGACCTGCTGTAACTGCTAATGTGTCTGATTAAATCTCTGCAGATCTGTAGCGGAAACGTTTTCATGTCCTCTACTGAACACGGGCCAGTGTTTGTTCATGTCTGCAGCTGGATACGTGCTCCGGTTCAGCCCAAACCTCTCTCACACACGCGTCTGGGTCCGGTTCCAGTGTGGGTGTGTCCCACTCTGTTTGACACCCCCACCCCAAGACACTACTGAAGCTAAGATCAGCCTAACGTTTCAAACACTTCGCCTCCTTGCCTGCTGGCTAGCGACGGGAGCCATGGAAAACAACAAGTGAGCTCTTAAGTGGAGTGTCGGTACCAAAGGCAGAACCAGGCGTGTTCTGTCCAAACGAAGTTGTTCAAAGCGAGATGCTACATCTAGTATCTTTGCCGTTTTTCTCTATTGCTTAAACACATTTCTTAAAACTACGCCTCGTGTTCTCAAAACGGTAAACCCAAATCCATAACGCCTCACCCTACTCTCCAAACATCGTACTTTCAGGGCAAAATGAAGCGCTACACTCAGCCGTTCACTCTTGCTGAACAGAACGTTGCTCACAGACATCACACACAAGGACTCACACACAAACGCACGTCTGGGTCCGGTTAGGGTGCACTACAACAGTCTTACATGTATATGTATAACTCATATTTCAGATTAAATGAGTTTTATCGTGACTGTTTAGCTGTAATCTGACCTGCAACAGCATTTGTTGCATTTTTCAAACATGACGTGGGAGTGGAGTATGCTTCTTGAAGGGGGTGACTTGCTCTTTAAAGAGCAAGTCACCCCCTACCAGAGTCTAACTCCACTCCCACTTCATGTTTGAAAAATGCAACAAATGCTGTTGCCTAGCAGACCGAGAGGGTGGAGCCGCTAACAAATACACACACACACACACTCAAGACATTGTGACATCATAATCTACCAGTTTACATCATAGCATGCCTCTTAGCCAATAGCGGTGGCAGATTTAAATTCAAATGCAGTGCAGACTTTTTACCTGACAACGGCACAACACTGCCAGTTTTAGGCAGAATATTTAAATTTTAACGAAGATGCACTGACGTGCCAAATTATTAACGACACGTGTCTGTAGCATGATTAGACACTCGTTTATTTAGTTTTATCAGCAAAAAAAAGTTTATTTGGGGGTGACTTGCTCTTTAAGGTGTTTTTGTTTGTTTTTTCCAGCAGGTGTATTTTATATAAATGATAAAACCAGTTTACCTTGAGGGATGTTGAAAGTCTCCCAGTAAAGCACAGCAAACACTGAAGAAAATAAGTAAAGTACAAATAAAGAAAGCTTTACATATTTTATTATATTCAATAACTTCATTACTTTTTAAAAGATTTATTTTTTTTAGCATTTTAAATTCTGTCATCCTGTCCCTCTAAACTCGATTTAACATAAAAGGAGACATCATCAGGTGTACCTCTTATGCATAATAATGATCGGATCACAGACCAGATGTTTGATGTTTCCCTGTTTTTCTCCGTGTCTGCTTCGATGATGTCACTTTCATAAAGCGCATTTGTAGTCCTGGACTTATTACACAAAACTTAAAATAACGTCTCCCCCCTTTGGAAAATAAGCGTGTTATTGGTATTAAAATGCATCTTCACGGACATCGTGTGAAGTCCATGGCACATAACAAGCAGAATTAGAAAGTAGCGTCTTTAGCCCCGTTGACTTGCGTTCATTTCTTTGTTTTTCTGGGGACCCGTGGTCCGGAAGTAGATGGGCGTGGCTCCCTATGGAGCGCTGTCTGTCACCTATGATAGACTGTCACTATGGTAAAGCTATGCGTTACCATAGTTACAGCTCAGGTGCATCATTTAAAATGCTTTATTATTAAAGAGCAAGTCAACCCCTACCAGAGTCTAACTCCACTCCCACTTCCTGTTTGAAAAATGCAACAAATGCTGTTGCCTGGCAGACCGAGAGGGCGGAGCTGCTAACAAATACACACACACTCAGGCTCATGACAGCACTGTGACATCATAATGTACCAGTTTACATCATAGCATACTTCTTAGCCAATAGCGGTGGCAGATTTAAATTAAAATACAGTGCAGAGTTTTTACCTGACAACGGCACAACACTGACAGTTTTAGGCAGAAAATTAAATTTGAACTAAAATGCACTAAAGTGCCATATTATTGATGACACATGTCTGCAGCACGATTAGACCCTCGTTTATTTAGTTTATCAGCAAAAAAAATGTTTATTTGGGGGTGACTTGCTCTTTAAGGCTAGAACCTTTCAGACTTCAGTATAAGTTCCATCTCGAGTGAGTTGGACCTTTTCAAATTCAATTCAATTCAAATTCAAAAATACTTTATTAATCCCAGAGGGAAATTGATTATTGATTATTGATTGATTTCTCTGCGGTCTCTGTGTTTGCGGACTTTAGTCTTCCAGAGAGCAGCTCTAGCAGGTAATAAAATACCCACAACCAACCCAGCCCAACATCTGACATGTTTACACTTTCACATTTATCTCACGTGTTTGCTGTGCTTTACTGGGAGACTTTCAACATCCCTCATGGTAAACTGGTTTTATCATTTACATAAAATACACCTGCTGGAAAAAAACAAACAAAAACCCCTTAAGCAGGTCAGATTATAGATAAACAGTCACAATAAACTCATTTGAATCTGAAATATGAGTTATAAACGTACATTTCTATAACTAGACCTACATGCTGTCTGCCGTGTACAGTAGTGGTGTCTGGAGAAGGGACTGATCTTTATTTCTGCACCAGTTTGACAGAAATATAAATAAATGCCATTTTTTCATCAGTGAATAAGTTATAACTTTAATAACATTAAGTGAACAATGTATTTTGACTTGTTTACATTTAAAAATGGACCCATCAGCGAACAGAAGAGTCATTTGGCTTGATTTAGCAAACAGAAGTCAAGAGGCTCGACTGCAGGTTATCTTTATGGACGTATGTAACTTCTAAGTAACTTATAGTTTTTGTCACATTGCTCTTTGATTAAACACTACCAGGAAAACTGAAATGTCTGTTTATATTTAAAACCTTTACTGCTATGTGAGCATCAAGACCAAAGAGAAATTTCTTTGATGTCAAACGGTTTATTATTTGTCTGAAGAGGATTGTATCATCTTCTCTAAGTTCTGATATCTTTTTATTAATATATTTCTATGTCATCAAACATCTGGTCTGTGATCCGATCATTATTATGCATAAGAGGTACACATGAGGATGTCTCCTTTTATGTTAAATCGAGTTTAGAGGGACAGGATGACAGAATTTAAAATGCAAACAAAAAATAAATCTGGGGGCAGGATCTATGGTTGTCTCTGCATGCTACAGGACAGCTGCTACAGATATCAGTCTGCCACACATCTGAAGATGCAAATACATTAAAAAAAACTTAGACCTCCATCTGCTCTTAACTCAAGGAAAAGCACAAGTCCAATAGATCTAAAGTTGACTGCAAAGCTGTTTCAAATGGCTCAAAATCTACGTATGCACAAGAACATGCTAACGCCACGCAGGAAGGCTGCAGCCGAGATTCGAACCTGCAACCTTCTGTCTTTGA